CATGAACAGAAAACAAGTTCTGGAATATGAGGGGAAGAAGGCCTGGGAGGCAGAAATGTTTGGACAGACAAGGCAGCCTTCAGGTAAGGAGCAAGCCTGAGTGAGCCATGGAAGAGACCTGGCCTTATGATGGGTGAGGAAGGCCCCCAGCCCCAACCATTTGCATTCAGATGATACTGGGCCTCACCTGAAATCAATAACCCTATATTCCCGGGCATCATATATATTTTGATGCATGCACCACTGGCAAGAGAAACACATCAAGTCAATGTTATCTTTTGTTTGTTTTCTTTCTTTCTTTCTTTCTTTCTTTTTTTTTTAATTGCCAATAAGCACATATGCTCACCTGAGGAAGATGGAAAGATAAAGAGAGCAAGCTAAAGGAAGAAAGCACCCCTCCCAACAGGTTGCTTCACCACAATTCTGTCTCCTCCGTTTTTTCCAGCCTATTGGGATTTGAAACATATGTGCACACTTGTCTGGCATGTTTTTCAAGCCGGGCCTGGGACTTGAACTTCGATTATGTAGATCTAGCTCCCTTAAGCAGTAGACCGCGGACTGGCCGGTCAGTGTTACTCTGTTGGCTGGTTCATTGCGAACAGAGGGAGGGCTGGGGCAACAGGAGATACCAAGTTCTTGGCCAGGGACAGAGACGCTTGCTAAAGGGAGGAGGGATCCTGAGCAGAGAGAGAAGGACCCACAGTCCCCCTTCAGATTTCGCCCTTGCCTTGCCCTACAGCTTTAGTTGCCTTTCTTGTGAGGAGCAAAAACATTCTAAAAAAATTTTTTTGTTTGTTTTTGTTTTGCTTTGTTTTTGTTTTTCCGCATGTAGAAATCCTCTGTGAAAGTCAACATGGTGACCGCGCTGACTCTTAACAATCCCATACGCTTTGTCATTGCTTTGGTTCTCCTGGGAAACTCAAGGGTTAAGCGGCTTGCTTAGGTTTCCCTGAGTGAACCACCTAAAGATTTCAGATCCAAATTGATAGGAGGCAGGTCTTCCTGCACCCAAAACAATGCTTTCCTGATGACTTCTTTTTTTAAAATGTATATATTTATTATTTTTCATACATTAAATCACTATACATCATTTAGATTGTGAAGAGACTTTACCCAGCATGACATACGCCTTAGTCCAGCCCAGTTGAGACCACCATACACATCCTCACCAACAGATAATAGCCCTAAGGACTTCTTCAGTCTCAAAAGCAACCTTTTACATTCCTTTCTCCACCATGTACTTTCCTTCCAACTTTCCTCACGGTTGATGAGGGGCTGTGGCTCCTTCAGAAGCCTTTCGTAATTTTATTTAGTTGGTATTGTTTTCTACAAGGTATCAGCTATTTTCTTTAATACACACTTCCCCTGTATTTTACGCCTTTTAATAAAAGGAGTGTTCATAGACCCCCAAGTCTGGCAGCACATGGCAAATATTTGATGTGTTTCTGTGACTTTTATTCAGGAGCATCTCTCTCCCCTCTCAGCATGTGTCAGTAAACTAATTGTGAACACGTGCAGACTGTTAGCTGTCAGTTTTAAAGAAAAACTTGTAAATCACTTATGATCATTTTAATGAGATAAACATGAACAAAAGTAGCCTTTTCTGTATTAGGGGCTTGTGAAATTTGCACATTCATCTACTGAATAGGTACTGGTCCACACTGAGATGTACAAGCTACAAGATCTGGAATCAGGGTTCAGATCAGTGTTGAGAATGATGGTGCATATTATTCTAGATGACCAGATTTAGTCACAAAAATAAGGATTGCAAGTGATGCTTTTAATAAACCTTCCATCAGAAACTATTTCTACTTAGCAACACTATACATCATTTAGATTGTGAAGAGACTTTACCCAGCATGACATACGCCTTAGTCCAGCCCAGTTGAGACCACCATACACATCCTCACCAACAGATAATAGCCCTAAGGACTTCTTCAGTCTCAAAAGCAACCTTTTACATTCCTTTCTCCACCATGTACTTTCCTTCCAACTTTCCTCACGGTTGATGAGGGGCTGTGGCTCCTTCAGAAGCCTTTCGTAATTTTATTTAGTTGGTATTGTTTTCTACAAGGTATCAGCTATTTTCTTTAATACACACTTCCCCTGTATTTTACGCCTTTTAATAAAAGGAGTGTTCATAGACCCCCAAGTCTGGCAGCACATGGCAAATATTTGATGTGTTTCTGTGACTTTTATTCAGGAGCATCTCTCTCCCCTCTCAGCATGTGTCAGTAAACTAATTGTGAACACGTGCAGACTGTTAGCTGTCAGTTTTAAAGAAAAACTTGTAAATCACTTATGATCATTTTAATGAGATAAACATGAACAAAAGTAGCCTTTTCTGTATTAGGGGCTTGTGAAATTTGCACATTCATCTACTGAATAGGTACTGGTCCACACTGAGATGTACAAGCTACAAGATCTGGAATCAGGGTTCAGATCAGTGTTGAGAATGATGGTGCATATTATTCTAGATGACCAGATTTAGTCACAAAAATAAGGATTGCAAGTGATGCTTTTAATAAACCTTCCATCAGAAACTATTTCTACTTAGCAACTAGTTAGTGATTTGGTTGCTATGTGGATTATCCAATCTGGTTGAAAGCAGATCAGTATTAAATAAATATAAGAAATGCCCTTTCCCTTCCAAGAAGTGTGGTGGAAGGTGTGTGTGTGTGTGTGTGTGTGTGTGTGTTTTGGGAGCTCTTATATCTCTAATCAGAGAATACATATTTTGAAAATACATATTGTGGGATAATCTCAGGCATGTTCTTTTACACAATTTAGTATGACATTTACATCTGCATCATTCATAGAAAGAAGCTGGATTCTTGCATGATCAACCATGGTTTGAGTCCCAGACCTGACAACTTGAGAATCATAATGGGCTTGTGTGTGTGCCCAAAATCCCAAGAGGAGAATGGAGAAGGGATTCCAGTGTGGCCATCACCCTAGGGGGCGATTTCTCACTTTTCCACTCTGTCTCTCTCTGGCAAGCACATGTGCCCTATGGGGGGAAAAAAAAGAAAAGAAAGAAAAATGAGCTAAAAGTGAAAAAGTGCTATTATCAGTTAATAGGTTTTTTAAGTATATTTTATTTATTTCTTCCAAAAGAGATAAAGATAGGCAGAGAGACAGTCATCTCCAACAGGGTCCATGCCATGATCCACTCCCAGTCTCAGCTAGCCTGACTGAGCACACATGCATGCTGGATGTACTTAGGGAGGTCCCAGGACACAAATCCAGGACTTTCCTCACGGGGGTCCTACTGCACCACCACCTGGCCCACATTTAATAAAGCTTAACATTGCAGTGATTCCAGGCACCCTTGTGTCAGCAGGGTCAAAATTTAACGTTTTTCACCATTTAGGCGAAAGCAAAGGAAGAAATCCTAGAGATTAAGGAGACTAGACCTACGACAGTATGTACAGGCAGAAGGGCAGTACAGCAAGGTGTCACTCACATGTTGGCACATGATTTCTGCTAAGTCTTGTTCCTGACTCAACTATAAAAGGGACATGATTTTAAAACAAAGTGAAAGAAATAAATTTCCTGAAGCGATCAAACCACTTGTCTTAGTATGAAACATGCAGCCAATCATGTCTAGAGGAACATTTTTAAAGGGTGTTGAAAATTTTCCTTAATAGTTTTGAGTGCAACTGAAGGAGAAACAAAGCAAGCTCTTGGGCTTCAGCCAACATATTGCAGTCTTGTGACTTTGGAGATCATCTTTCCTTAATAGAATACTTCAGCATTAGCGGTTGTAGAATTAAGAGTAAAAATACTACATTTTTCTTTTATTTTGGAGAGGTTTTTGCTATAGGGCGCGTCTGCTTGCCAGAAAGACAGAGAGAGACAAAAAGTGAGAAATCACCCCCCCGGGGGGATGTCCATGCCACAATCCCTTCTCCTCCATTCACCTCTTGGGATCTTGGTATGCACACACACTCGCCTGGCGTGAGTTTAAGCCACCGGATCTGAGACTTGAACCGTGGTTGAGTACATGAGAGTCCAGCGACATAGCCATTTTGCCATCTGCTGGTCCCAAGAGTAAAACCATTACTTTGAGCTAATTTTTTTTTTTTTAATTTTTAAGTTTGAGGGTTCACTTAAGTTATTAATCAATCTAAGAGAAGAGGCTTAGGAAAGACATCTAGCTAATTCCTACAAGCACCTGACCTAAAAAGGTCATTTCTAGGAGTTGCATGTAGAGAGGATAGACTGTTCTAAGTACAAAAGATTATAAAAGAAGAACTTCATACTTGAGATAACCAACCCAACCAGCGTCCTGTCCTACCCTTGTACACAGGTTCAAAAATTCGATGTCACATGTAACCCCCCCCAAAAAATAAACAAATTTAAAAAAATCAAACTGCACTTAGCTTGTAATGTATATTTTATTTTGCACAAGCTTGCATATATACTGCACATACATTCAGTTTAAGAGGAGATGAAAGGCACACAAGGCAATTGGACTACTGTATCCTTTAAGTGGTACAAAGCAAAAGGTAAAAGTCTGGAGAGTATACAAAAGCTTAAAACACACAAAGTAAAACCCCCTCCCCACCCTCCCCACAACAACTTTTTTTTTTCCTGTTTTAAAATTTAGTAGCTGCCAAACTAAATGTTTTACTTTGACTTTAAAATCAATTGTCTACTGCACCTTTTTTTTTTTTTTAATTTTCTCTTTAATATGGACAGGGAGTCTCATTGTTTTTATCATATCAATTAATATTACAGTACATCCTTGGTAATACAAAATTGTACACCTTCATCAAATAAATTAGGATAAATTAAACCAATAAATTATGCAAAGTCTTCAGAACAATAGACAACAACAAAAATCCACAATTGAAATTGCCTCTAGCTAAAAAAAAAAAAAAAAAAAATCAAAAAATTGACTTTATCAGTTCAGTTATTGTACTATATTCAAATCAAAAGGTCTTTATTACAAAAAAAAAAGAGCTTAATAATGCTATTTACAACATATTGCTAAATAATATAAAGGCAGTGTTTTGTCACGGTTTATACTATATACATATGAGAAATGGCTGGGACAGTATTGAGAGAAGTCATGACCTTTGATTCTTCGAGATAGTACTGAGACCAACCCCAAATGCATTTTTTTTCTAGATCTAAATTTGAAGTGGTAATGTATAATTTTTAAAATGCTTTATTCCCCCAAGAAGGGGAATTGAATATTTAAAAAGTACAGAACGAACACATTTTGACAACAACGTCAGTCCGTGTGCCGTTTCTGTTCATGTTTACGCATTTTAGGGGGCGTCAGATTTGAGAGAGGGCTCAAATTCCAGATGCTTCCAGATTCCATTATATTCTTAGAAGGATAATTATAAGAAGATGCAAAGGTTAAATACCAGTTTTGATCCCAGCTCTGAATATAAGCATTTTAGCTTTAGTTTTATAGATGGTTTACAACCAACAGATCTACAGAAAACAAAACTGCATTTCCTTCAACATAACATTTAAGTGCAATACAGTAACTGCTTACTCATATAAACCAGTTACATTTTTTAAGGGGAGCTTTTTGAAAACAATGCTTCTTGTAATTGGCAAACACAGAGTTTGTACCAGAAGGAAACATTTGTACTATTCACACCAATGAATACTCTATAATATACATGGCAAAGAGATTTTGCACTTGTCCTCACATATACACCGCGTCTTCGGGGGAGTCTGTAAACCACTTTTTCTCGGATGAATTTATGATTGCTCTTGGGGACATTCTGTGTTTAAAGCCCCCAAATCTTTAGCTGTATGACTATATTAACTTGCACGTGTCTGTGTGTGGGGATACTTATTGTCTTCATGTCCATAGAAAAGAAATTTCATAAATTTACAGAAACTGCATTACCCTTGCCCTTGACATCTGATAAAAAAGAGACTGTTATCTTTTAAGAGTAGAGAGCAGGATTTTCAAGAATGCTTTTAACTGTCTATACAGTCACTGTAGTGTTCCTAATAAATTCAACAGATGTTGTGAGAATGTAGTTATTTATTAAAATCTCATGTCTTCTGTAACAACAGCCATGAGGTTAAATATTTACATTGCTTTATAAAAGTTCCCCTCTCTCTTTAGTGTTCCCATTTTGCTTTTTTTGTTGTTGTTGTTTTAAATTTTTTTTCTAAATGATATTCACCCACATTCTTAGTACAGTAACAAAGATTCTGCAAACATAAAACACTTTCATTAAATAATACTCGGAGGTACAAAGCAAACTTGAGGAATATGTGGGTGTACATTTACTTAAATAATTACTACATTCTAACATCTTCCACGTGTTTTACCATTTAATGTGAAACGTCCTCATTAAACAGCCAGAGATACAGTAAGAATTAAATGTTTTGTTGTTGCAAATAGAACATTCTTTTCACAAAACATAACAAATGTCTAAAATAGGTTCTTAAATCTAAATAGGAAAAGGTAAGCTTTCCACTCCACACGCATATATATATATGTATATTTTTACATGTGTGTATATGTGTGTATGTGTCTGTGTGTTCACACATGTACACACACACATATATAGCACATGGTATGAAATATTGCTTCTATACTACTTTTCATTAGGCTAAGAAAACACAAGATTTGCACCACAGTTACAAAAAATTGGCTTCTACAAGAATTTTCAAAACTCGAATGCTGCTCAAACAATTGAGGAAAAAATAATTTGCGGTATCAAACTGTTCTAAAAATTCTCTTCTTCAAAAACGTATTCTCCCGCTTTGTTTTAAAAAGACACAAAATATGCATAGCTATCAACATTATGTCAAACAGCCAGAAAAAAAATCTAGTGTTTATTGCAGCTGTAGTAATTGGAAATAAAGTCAAAAAGATGAACTTGAAAGCCACAGAAGGCACAAGAACAATTGTACTTGTGGGAAAAAACTGGTATTTTGAAGGATTTTTTTTAAAAAAAAAAAAAATCCCCCCGCTGGTGCATTTTAGGTCTAGGCACAGACTATAAAATCAAGTGCATACGCAAAAATAATTTAGGGTTAGCAAAAAAATAAGTGGTAATGTGGTATTTCAACATGGACTTTAGACTTTTTTTTTCTCCCCCAGGTAACCTGTCCCTCATCTTTCCCCCTCCCACCATAGAAAGTTAACTTTCTCCCAAGAAGCCAATTTTCATTTGGTGAGAGTTGAACTAAGATTTGTGATTTTTAAACTATTAAATGGAGGTTTTGAGAGACAGGCTTGAGTCTTTCCAATGTACTGGGAGGCACAAGATTTGATGATTGCAAAAGAGGAGAAATCACCTAAAAGCAAATTGTTAGAGTTCTATTTTCAGAACAAAAAAGGCCAATTTATACTCATGCTGCAATTTCCACTCTGAAATAATTTCTATGCCTCCGTGAATATTGAGTCGGTATTATCAGTAGATAAGCACATCAGCATTTGGTTGCAAACACTTACTTTTGCTTAATTTGTCTGTTTAAATTAGAAAGACAGGGGAAAATAATACTCAAATCCAAATAAGTTTGGAATCAATATTGAACTTGTCCCAGTTCAAAAAGATACCTAGCAATCGGTCTACATAGGTGAATATACTACAGCTTTGCCTTTGACCTTGCAAATGGCAATCCAATGTTGATATGAATTACATGGAACAGCAAAGACCCAGTTGTATACTGACATGAACAATGAATGTCATCCTCTTTCAAATGAAGCAAGAGTGTGACCACAACTTGAAACTGTTTTCCTGCTTTGTGCTGATTGGATTTTTTCTTTCCTTCTTCTTCTTTTTTTTTTTTTTGCACTTTATTCCAATGTAATGATTACCTGAACTTTAATTTTTCTTTAAGCAAGCCAGAATAATGATAAATTGGATCTAATGACTCCGTGTGCATTGTGTAGGAGAGTGTGAGCTGGGAGATCTGTCTGGCTATGCGTGCAGAGTAAAGCGGTTAGTGCACCAGCCCGTGCTACTGCACACTCTGTCCACACTTCAAGGGCCTGTTAGTTCCTGAACGATGCAGAGCATCGTAGGACTGCACCGTTTAATTTAAAGTCAGCAGGTTTTAAGGCTTTGTGCTGACAATAATTGTGTTCATACATTTCTGTCCATCAGCAGAATTTATAAATGACATTAAATTACAGCGATTGGGTCAGCTAGTTAGTCACATGGATCAACCTGCATTCCCCAAAGTCAAATGCAATTTTTATAAAAATTAAGGAAAAAATGGTGTTTATGTCCTATATGTTCTAAAATACCAGATTTGTTATTGTGTCATTTTAGGAGGTGTATATCAAATTACCAGGGGTAAGAAGGGGCCTGGAAAACATTATTAGAATCAACAATGAATTCTTACTGCATCTGCACACAAAAACCCACCTAAGAAAACGACAAGTGTGACTGCCATATGATTTTTATAATGTAAATATGGGACAATGTACATCATTGAAGAACTGGAAATTAAAAAAAAAAAAAAAAGGAAAAAGAGGAGAACTATTGAAGAAAGCATAAAATAGCAGCTGGCTTTCTTACTGAAATTGAGTTGTCGGGGTTAACCCCAAACTTTCTTATATTCTACACTCTTCTCACGTTTTGGTCAATACTAGCTTTTGAATTAGAAGAGGCATTACCGTTTGCTTTAAAATACTATACCTAAAATGAAGGAATAGTTACGTACACTGCCACCACTTTGCATACCCATCAGGGAAGTGTAGAATTATATATGAAAATAGGTCATTCTCATATGCCCTCCTCTTAGGAGGTGAAGATCAAGTCAGCTAACAGCTGTCAACAAACCTGTAGTGTAGGCAAGGATTTTGTGGTTAAGTAGGGATTTCCGCTATTCCTCACTGTATTGAGAAAATAGTGTTTTGGAAAAAAAAAAGTGTTAAACAAATAATAATCCTCTTAAGCATATAAACAAAGTTGAGCAAAGAGTAAATTTGAAACGTATGTGCCTTTTAATACTTGAAGCAAAATAAATAGAAAATGATAGCAAGCGATAGGGTTTTTCTCTATGAAGAATGATAGAAGCTCACTTATGAAGAAGAACCTATTGTATAGTTTAAAGAGTTGGCTATAAGGAATGTATACATTTCCTTTCTTATCTCGGTAAAGTCATTTTTGTGCCAAATTGCTTTACCTTTATGAGAAACTGGTACTAGTTGGGGGGTGTTTTCCATTTCTCTTAGGAAAGGCTTGGTCGTTAGTGATTTTCTTTTGACATTTTGGCCTGTTGGGGTACTTACATATTTTTAAATATGTAAGAGAAAGTTATTGAATTCAAATCAAATAAAGTATTTAAGTGTGTGAAGTGGTTTCATTGCATTCTCAGACCTTCTTAGCAGTAAAAACAAGTGACACCTCATTGCCTGTAGAGACGCGTTGTGTCATGGGTTTCCCTCCGCCAACCGCCATTTGCAATAAACCATCTATCAAGCAGACCTATCTTGAACAAATGCCCTTCCTTGCTCATATAGATTTTATACACACCAACATTCATTTTCCCTGAAAAATCAACCCTATTTTAAGTCTCCAAATGTTAAGGGCCTTGGGTAAAAGTAAACTAAAGGTGGAAGGAAAATAACCATATCCCCTTGCAAAGGAAAACAAAAGGGAATGAGGAAGAAAACAAAATAGGATGAGGAGGAATTACCAGCTGATTTCATATCATCTCCACACCTCCCATACACATATATATGAAATCAAAATCTAGACACATACAACTTGGACATCCAAAGGGGACTGCTACTATTCATACATTCAAAAAGAGTTGTTGAAATTTCTACTCATGAAGCAGCTCTTGTAGGCAGTTCGGGGACTTGAAAATCTCAGGGACTTCACTATCCAGCTTACAGATGACCTTGTATATGGCCTTCTTCCAGGAAGGATCAACATCTTTGCCTGCGATAATGGCATTGAAAAACTCCCGTAATGTGATCTGCGCAACTTCCAGGAATCTCTCTGGAACCTGCTGATACAAGGAGACAATGGCATTAATAAAGTTTTCAGTTTCAAGTCTACAGTTCTTCAAAGGAAATTGAGCTAAGTTCATTCTTTCAGAAAGGGGCTTACATGGCACCTGCATTTTCTAAAAATGTCCGGCTTCTATTCTCTTATGTAAAGTCGTTATATATAGTAGCATTGTAATGTGGGGTTGACAGCTTTGTAGAGTTTTAGAAAGAGACTTCTACAAAAGATGCTTGTGAACCTATTGAAAAATGAGGATTTCATTGTGAATATTAGGGTAGGAAAAGGGGACATGACCGTTGAGTTTCCTCACTTTATAAATAGGTGCATTCCAGAAGAAAACGAATGTTTCAGACTTTGAATCATCTTTCCTTTTGATTTCCATTATGAAAACCAAGATTTGCTCTCAAAATAGAATAATAAATAATTAGGCTTCTATAGGAACTAAATTCACACTTTAAATGAAGAAAATCTTTTCAAATCTGTTTCCCTAGTATCAGAAGACTGGTAATGCAAATGCTAAATTGTGTATTAAAATAATCTGCACTATAAAGAACATACATAAAGGAGTAAGATAATGAAATTAACATGGGTGACAAAATACACAATTTAGACAGAATCCTAAAATACCACATCAAAAACTACCTTGAGATTAAAACTGCTCCATGAGAGAATAATTTATGCAGCTGATAATAATAATAAAAACTAGCATTTATTGAGTGCTTGTTATGTATCAGGTACTGTGCAATCTACTGACTGAATTATGACATCCAGTTCTCCCAACCTTTCTGTGAGATGTTGCTCTCGATTATATACGAGAGAATTGCAGCCCAGAGAAATCAAAAGGATTGCTCAAGATTGGTATATCCCAAGATAAACATTCCTCAAATATATTTTTTTAAGAATCTCTGTCTGTTAGGCCTTTTCTTCCGCAATAATTACTCCGTGTGTGTTGTGAATAAGTGTGCCTGTGTGCGTATCATGTAGGATATGTGTTCTCAGAACCGTTGATGTAACATCGGGTTGTCAGAAAAGTCATGACACATTTTTGCATAGGAAAATACGTCATGATTTTTCCAATGACCCAGTGGTTGGACCTCTTGACTAGGAAGAGGAGTATTGATGGGCTTATTTAGTATCCTTTGTAAGTTACTCATAGGAAAGCCTAACCTGTCTTTCCCCACTCTGAAATAATGGATTCACAGGAGAATTCCATGAATTCATACTTTTCCAGGTACGCACTGACACTCAGCAGATTTTCTTTGAGTAGGGTACTTATGCACTAACCATGTTTTATTTTTACATTAGGTGCAGAAATATGAGGAATAAAGGTTGCATGGACAGACAGATCTGTCTACAAATATATCAGAGATGAAAGATTTTCATCTCAGTGCAGACATGCCACTGACCAAGTAAAAGGGAGAGGTTGTCATCTTGAACATGTTCAGTTCTTCCCACATTTTCTCAACTGGCACAGTAGATCATTTTATAAGGATAGTAACTAATATAGAAAACTAAAATAATCACCAGACATCCCTGTTTTTTAACAGTTCAAATTGAACAAAGAATTTCATTTCTCCCAATGGCAAGTCAATTAGACAAACCTAATAACTCCCCAGAAAAAAAATAAAAGAGTGCCCTTTTGGGGGGTGATCAGAAAAAGTGAGAGTTTTGAGCAGATCTTCCCAAAGATGTTTATCCATACACCTCAAGGGTCATTCTTTGCTGAGACCTCATCTGGATTTTCCACAGACCTTTGTAATCCCTCCCCACCACCCCCAAATCTCCCATATATATGAATATTTTGGGGGGAAGCACTTAGCCCTCTCACTTACCTTATACCAAATAAAAATCTTTATGAGTATGCTCTCCTCCTCCCTGCCACGATACTCCTTCCCATTTTATCAAATGGGCATTATTGAGAGAGAGAACCTGGCTGGAGGACAGTTAGGCAGTGCAACTATCCATTTTAACTACTTGGTTGGGGAGCTGTTAGCCAAATGCTACAGAAACATCATCACAGTCATTTATTAAAATAAACATTTGAGGACCAGCAGATGGTGTAATGGTTATGTTGCTGGACTTCCATGTAGTCAACCATGGTTCGAGTCCCAGACCCAGAGGCTTAAAACTCACGCCAGGCATGTGTGTGTGTATGCCCAAAATCCTGAGAGGAGAATGGAAGAGAAGGGACTGCGGTGTGGCCATCCTTCTCAGGGGTGACCTTCTCGCTTTCTGTCTCTCTATGTCTCTCTGACGAGCACATGTGCCTTAAAGCAAAAAACAAACAAAAACCTCTCTTAAAATAAAACGAGCACATGTGCCTTACAGCAAAAAAACAAACAAAAACCTCTCTTAAAATAAATAAATAAGTAAATAAAAGTAAACATTTTATGAAGTGTGGTTACACTGGCCATTGGCAAGAGAACCTCGATGATAATCTATATTTGAACACGCAGGGATGCAGCAAGCCATGGTATAGCGCTTTGATGGATGAAGGGTCGGGGCAGCTGCTCTGGAGAAGCTGGAGAAGGCAGGAAGCCAGCCCACCCCAAGGGCCCACAGGAGGTCTGGGGAACTAGGGGAAAGGGAGAAAGGGGCATTGCTAGAGCCTGCAGGAGGGAGAGACATCTAGAACACATCGGCATTAAAGGGAGGGAAGTATAATTGTTACATTTGCTCAAGAACAAATCAAAGTAACTTCTTTGAGAGTTATGTGCACCTTCTGCCTCATTGTTTTTATTGTTCACTGTTTGTCAGCAGCTCCTGTTTTAAACATTTGTTTCTGGTGGCAGTAGTCATGGGCTTTCCTATAACATGCTTTGTATTTGTGTCTTGATCCTATTTAACTCTTCACCCATTTAGTTCTAGCCTCAATTACCTTATCATAGGTGTGTTTAGATAAGAAGCCATGGTTTTGATTTTGTGTATCCCCCACAATGCTTAGCTGAGAATCTTTTGCAGAGTCATCTGATAAATAGTTCATAGTAAGATCTTGCCTTCTGCTTTAGTCTATATTATTCTAGAGCTACACTTATATTCTCCTTCAATACTTAAAAAAGGAAGCTTAAAATGACGATAAGATAAAATTCAAAGAGTTGGAATATATTTTGGAAATCATCATTTAAAAATTTTTTTTCCATAATGTGCGTGCACTTGTGAAAGAGAGACAGAGAGAGACAGACAGAAAGAGAAGAGAGAGAAGAGAGAGAGAAACTGGGAAAGCACCCCAATGGGGGGGTGGTGGCCACACTGCAATCTCTTCTCTTCCATTAGTGTCTTGGGATTTGGATCACACACACATACATATCTGGCATGTTTTTCAAGCTGCTGCAGGGTCTGGGATTTGAAATGCCTGTCAGCCATATGGGATCCAGTCACCTTTACCACCCCGCCAACAGCTGGCCCCCAAATCATTACTTTATAAATGAAGAAACTATAAAATGTTATGTAATGAAATTACAAAATCTAGAGACCCACGTGAAATAAGGCACCTTTCTAGTCAACCATGCGGCTCTCTTTTAAAGCTTTTCCAACAATTTCTATTCATTGGAGAGAGCAAAACCTTGACAAAGCTGTGGATCTATAATCAAGAAAAGCCACAGAGGAGCTAGTAGCTTTAAAATAAATAGGAATGGTACAAAAGATTCCCCAAAGTAGACTTTGGTTATTGGTTTATGTTTGGGAAGGGATGAATTCTTTGTGAACAAATGAAATGGTCTGCTAATTTAGTGCTTATGTTGAGGCAAAATTCATGTCATGGGCTGAGTTGGATAAAAGGAAGTATAATGAGATTCTCTAAACTGGAGCAATTAATCTTCTTGGTGACTCCAGAGGAGTACTATTGGGTAGCAACTGATCTTCTGAGAGGGTGCCAAAGAATTCCACCCACAGGTAGAAATATCACCACGAAGAAAAGAGATCGTCACCTTCCTGCTTGAAAAATTTCCCCCAGTTCCATTCACTAGAGCAAGGGGGTCCTTTATGATATCTTGGGGGGCATCTTAAAATTCAGGATTATGAGAAAGATGTTGCTCATATTATTTTTTTTCTGCACTTCTTCACACCTAATGGCTTTCCAATCACTAATAAACATCTGCAGAAAATCCCTTAGTGACAAGTAATCCCTTATCTAGGTTTCTTTTAATAGAACCCAACAATCTGCAGAATGAACCCTAGAGTATCTCCTCAGCATCAGGTGGCAACAGTCAATCAAGCCACTGGAATGCAAGACAATGCAGGCCGCTGGGTGGGGGGAGGAGGGAGGGAAGGCCATGCCTTTGGACATGCCACAGGGAAAAAACAAAAGGCTTCCAAAGTCTCTGGCTGGAACTCTGAGGCTATTGTGGGAGTTGCTTTGTCGCAGTGTTCTTCAGGAGAGGAGAGTGGAAAATTTGCTTTGGTAAAAAGGCATCCCAATATAGGAACCTCACCCTACATGGTCTTGCCTTGGACTCTGGTGGAGAATAGGATTGTGATAAGTTACCTGGACACGTTCATACATTTGAAAAAGGCTGGCTGTCGGCATCTACCCATTTCATCCCAATTGTTTGTACTTGAGTCTCCTCAGAGCAAACAAGGGTCTTGTGGGCATCAGTGAAATGGAGAAAATGGGGGAATATTTTCACAGTTCGCTCCATCTCCAGTTGGGTTGTGCACACACACGGTGTGTTGGGTGGGTGGTTGTTTTGCTGTTCCTTTTTTTTTTTTTTTAATTTTTTATCAGAGTGAGTGGCAAAGACACATTTTCCCCCCGTCTTCCTCCTCCTCTTCCCAGTTGCTTTACCTTCAAGGATGATTTGTTTTATTAAACTGACTGTCCCTAGCCTCTGCAGTACATAATAAAAGCCTGACATAGCAGGCTGCCCGCCTTCTGTGTCCTGCAGATACTCATCATAAGTGTCAGGACATACCAAGGTTAGCGGTCACTGGAAGTGTGCTCGCTGGCCCAAACCTTGCCAAACGCTCTTGGCAGCTGAATGAATGTCACAGAGAATAGAAGGG